ATGACTAAAAGTATTTATCTGATTTAACCACACACTGTAGAAAAACCAAATACTACAGATAGCTTCTAAAATAATATCAAACCTTACATTATAAAATAGACTCAACTCTTTGTACCTGTGTAAATTATGAGATCCTTTGGATCAATTAAATTCTTCTATATAAACTGATGCCCTAGACCACTCATATTTTTACCAAACCTGAAGTATCAACCTAAGTCTTCCTAGATAGACTACCTCAATGCATTCCATGTAAAATGATGTAGTAACTTTAAAAAAAAATAGTTCCCTAAGTGGAAGCTAACACAAAGGTGGAGTAGAGACTTGTAAAAGCAAACAGACCTCTCAGAAATTCAATGATTAAAGCATACTGGAATGGAAAGAGATAAGGCTATGTGGCACAGAGTGAGAGTGGGAAGGTACTTCTAGAAAGATCTCAAAACTAGAATTTTTAAAACAAAGAAGAGGCTCTCATAAGGGGAAAAAATGAATCTGCTAAAAGGTGTGCTTAATTAAATAATTATTTTTAATTTAATTTCATTTCTTTATTTTTATTTGACCAGAGGGTGACAGGGCAAGAGAGAGAGCAGGAAAGTAAGAAATCAAGCCACCAGGTCCAGGACTTGAACCACGGTCAGCCATGTGAGGTCCAGTGCCCTTAACCACCACACTACCTGCTGGCCCCAAGGTATGCTTAATTAAACAGATGTCTCAGGGTCTTGGCATAGGTAGTGTGGGAATGGCAAAAATTAACTTTGGCATAGAACATTTGGAATGAATAATGATACATGTATCAATATGCCAATTTTTTACGTAGAGATATTTAAAAAAAAATTGAGATTGAACAGAAAAGTTGCCACTGCCTTCTGCGCTGCCCACCCTACCCCCAATACCTGAGAAGTTTGCAGCTCTCTTCAGAGCTTCTTTGAGGTTCAGGTTCTGGTGTTCAAGTTCCATTTGCTTTTTGGTTTCCTCATCCAGCCTCTGGGCAAGGGTTTCTACCATTTTCTTGAGTTCCCTTTGTGACTCCTGGGAAGCTTCTTCTGCTTGCTGCAAGGCTAAGGTCTGTCTCTCCAGTATATTTTCCTGGTGAGTAAGGTTTACTTGCTGTCTCTTTAGGAGGTCGGACGCCTGGGACACTAAAATCACAGCTGAATTAATACTCTATTTCCAATCCTCATTAAAAAAAAAAAAAATCTCTTCCGTAGGTTCCAAGGAAATCAGAATGCAGAATCAAGGGACTAAGCAGATTGCATGATGATTACTTGACTAGACTCCCACACAGTTGACCCTAGTTCGAGTCCCGGACCTAGCAACTTAAACTCATGCCAGGAGCATGTGTGTGCATGCCCAAAATTCCAAGAGGAAGATGGAGAAGAGATTGTGGTGTGGCTACCCCCGGGGGAGGGGGGTGATTTCTAGTTTTTTGTCTCTCTTTCAGGCAAGCACACATGCCATATAGCAAAAATTTCTCTTAAAAAATAATAAAAGAACACAGAATCAAATAATCTTACCTATCAGATAAGCTGCTAGAAAATGACCCAAATTTACTCAAAAATTACAGATTGGGAAGTTATTTAATATTCCTTCAGCTTTTGTTGGCTTTTTTTTTTTAACTGTTAGAAACTGCACACAAAATTATTTAAAATGATATTTTTAATTAAAAGTTACACACAAAGTAATATCAGATATATACCACAAGAGTGGAATAAATAAAAAACAGACAACCCCAAATAGTCAGACACCCACCAGTCTCAGCAACTATCTATAGGAATTGTCATTAATGATTACTCTGCATCTTAATTCTAATCCATCAGCTCTCATCTGTCTATGCTGCCAGACTTCCCAATTTTATTTAAGAACTATGACATTCACTCTTTTCTGAGACAGCCACCCACAGAATTATTGTAAGCAACTATGTCACAATAGTCCCCTAACTTTTTTTACATTTTTCTTTTTAGGCCATAGCACGTTTTAGGAAGGGTGGAGATGATTTGAAGGTTGGGAAATCAAACAGACAAAGAGGGCCAGTACCCAGTACTGGAATCTGAAGGGTGCACATTCCTTGGTTTGAAGGCCAGAATAGACTCTCATTAGGTTGATCATAGCCACAGGGGAAGACCCTTTTGGGCACCACCTCCTAGTCAAGGACACTTTTCTCAATCATTTAAAAAGAATCTCAGTGTTCAGAGATGGAAGAAAAAAATAGTGTGTGAACTCGAACAACTGAGAAACAAATAGCACTTCAAATGCTGTATTGACCTCGATCCTGGATAGACACGATAACTCAGACCTACAACCTAATTCCACAGGCTGATTAGATGGATGATGGGCACCATCGCTTTTTTTGTTTTTGTTTTTGTTTTTGCCATTCTGGTCTTTCTTTTCACTTCTTTTCCTTTCAATAAACTGTATTCCTAAATACTCACATTATAAACTTAAAGTATATTTTCTTTTCTTTTCTTTTCTTTTTTTTTTTTAATTGCAGGAGAGCATGTACACGTCCTGGAGAGAGACAGAGAGAGAAAGGAGGAGGGAAAAAGCACCCCCATGGGGCACAGTCACACTGTAATCCCTTCTCCACTTCTTCCTCCTGTTAGGCTTTGGGGCAGGCGTGTGCACATGCCTGGTGTGTTTTTCAAATTACCAGAGCCAGAAACTGAACCTCAGTTTAGCTCCCTTACTTAACAAACAGCCTACAGGGCCAGCCCTGCTTTTTTTTTTTTTTTTTTTAAATTTTATTTATTAGAGATTTTTACCACAGGGCACATGCACTTGCCAGAGAGAGAGACAGACAGAGACAGTGAAAGAAGTGAGAAATCACCCCCCAAAGGGTTGGCTACGTAGCAATCCCTTCTCCTCCGTTCTTCTGGGATCTTGGGCATGTATTGCACATGTGCCTGGCGTGATTTCCAGGCCACCGTGTCCAGGTCTTGACCCGAAGTCCGCTGTGTGAGAGTCCAGCGATGTAAACACTATGCCATCTTCTGGCCCCTTATTTATTTATTTCCATAAGGATTGTGCACTCACAGGAAAGAGACAGAGAAAGAGAGGGAAAGGGAAAGTGAAGAAAGCACCCTGCCCCCAGGGGTATGGCCACACAGCAATCTCATCTCCTTTATTCTCTTCGTGGGATTTTGGGCATGCACACAAATGTGCCCAGCGTGTTTTTCATGACACTGGTCTGAGACTCAAATCATGCAGTCTACCATGTGGGGTCCAGCTGCTCCAAACACTATGCCGCTGACGGATCCCTCTTTGTTTGAAATGTTTATTTATTAAAATTGTGTTTCTGATTCTTATCTTTAAAATGACATTTGATTGGGGCCAGCAGGTGGCATAGTGGTTAACGTTCTGGACCTCCACATGGCCGACCGCAGTTCGAGTCCTGGACATGGAGGCCTGAAAATCATGCTGGGTGCATGTGTGTGTGTGCCCAGGATCCCAGGAAGAGAATGGAGAAGATGATGCAGGAACACGGAAGTGCAGAGGTGATTGGGCCCCGCACTCGTAGCAGGACGCAGGTTCTTGTCCCAAGCTCACCAAAAAGCAGAGATGTGGACACAAAGAGTAAGTAGAGCAAAGCAGGGAGCTTATTAAAGGAGAGGGAAGGAAAAACAGAGCTCCGGGAAAATGGGTTTTTGAGGTGGAAGTGGGGAAGGGGTATTTATCTGGGTCAAAGAGGCCTTGTTCAGGCTTGTTCTAGGTGGGACTCACCCATGCATTGGTGAGGAGAGGCATATATTATATGGATCTGGTTATTCTCCTAATTTTGGAGTGGGTACGAAGGTCAAGAGATTCTTAGTATAGAAGCTTTTGGCTATAAAACCACTACCTTACCCTCTTCTTGGAATGTGGTGGAGCCTGGGAAAAGCCTTTGTTTTAGATCTAGGTCAGTCACTGAGCCACCTTGCAAGAGGTCTCTCCCAAGGAAGCAGCCAAGCTGTTTTATTTCCGTTTTAAAAATTAGCAAGGACCAGCAGATGGCATAATGGCTATGTCACTGGACTCCCATGTAGACGACCATAGTTTGAGTGCCGGACCTGGTGCCTTAAACTTACGCCAAGCGCGTGTGTGTGCGTGCCCAAGATCCCAAGAGGAGAATGGAGGAGAAGGGATTGCGGTGTGGTCATCCCCCCAGGGGGGTGATTTCTCACTTTCTGCCTCTCTGTCTTTCTGGTGAGCACATGCGCCTTATAGCAAAAATCTCTCTAAAAAAAAAAAAAACCTTAGCTATTTTGTGATTCTATTTTGAGCCTATACCCTAACTATGGTTTTAGGGTCCCTGTCTTCTACCTGAAAGGGATTATGGTGTGGCCATCTCCTCTGGGCCGTGATTTCTCACTTTCCTTCTCACTATCTGTCTCTCTCTCTCCTCTCTGGCACATGTACATGCCCTGTGGCAAAAACTTTTAAAAAGAAACATTTAATCATCTCTATCAAAACTCGAGAAGAACTAAATGAATTTTTTTTTTAACTTTTAGGTATCTCACATGATCTGTGGATTAGTAACTTTAAGTTATTCTCTAACATTCTAGAATTTACATAGGCACTATTTATGAATTTATGAAAACGAAAATTTTTAAATTACCATTATTATCTTTATTCCATTGTCTCTATCCATTTGAGAAATGAACAATATACCCATTCAACTTACCAGTCATTCTAAAAACATTTTGCCTAAAATGAATCTAAATCAAGGCTGTTTTGCAGTGATTATGAAACAGACTTAGAAGCCATTGTTTATTAAGCCTCATTCCCACTCCCCCAATCATTTCTCCATATCAGCACTTACATTGCAGTCCCAGCATTACAATGGTCACCAGTAATCCCAGACAAAGGACACCTAGAGTCACAGCAGCAGGGCACCAGCATGGTGAAGAAAGGAGGCGAGGACCTGGAGTGATGGCATAGATGAGAAAGACAGAAACAGGTGTAAACAGGGACCAGTAGATGGTATAATGGTTACATTGCTGGACTCGCACATAGTCGACCGTGGTTTGAGTCCTGACCAGGTGGCTTAAACTCATGCTGGGCATGTGTGCATGTGTACCCCAAAATCCCAAGAGGAGAATGGAAGAGAAGGAATTTCAGTGTGACCATCACCCCAGAGAAGGATATTTTGCTTTCTGCCTCTCTGTCTCTCTCTGTCTCTCCGGTGAGCATACACATCCTATAGCAAAAATCTCTTGAGGAAAAAAAAGGGTGTGATCCTTTTTTGTGTAAGCAAGTGATTCAGCCTTCTTTGGATCCTGTCTCAACTTGGAGCTTTGTAGATCACTACTAATCTTCCCAGTGGCTCTGTAAATAATTTACAAATGAAATATACAGACAATTAAAGAATCTGAGTAATTTACCCATGGTAAAAATCTGTAAATTTAAAAACCATGATTCAATATCAAATATCTGTTTCTAAATATTTGACTCTAAAGATTATACTTTGTCTACTTTCCGTACAGGGACTGTTCAAGAAACTTTCAGACCAGCTTGGTTAGATTGGCTTTATCCACAGAGCAGCAAGCTTAATGTTTTTAATAAATCTCATGTATTCACAGACACACACACACACACACACACACACACACACACACACACAGAGTGTACTTTTTAAGTACCATATAAACAAATGTCAAACATCAAGCAAACAAGCTTTAGTCAGGCAACTGAGATTGCTTCGAAGAATTCTATATGTAACTTTATACCATTCAACTTCTTTATTTTTTTGAGAGAGATTTTTGCTATAAGGCATGTACACTCACCAGAGAGACAGAGAGAAAGAAAGCAAGAAATCATCCCCCAAAAGGTATGGCCACACCGCAATTCCCTCTCCACCACTCTTCCTCTTGGGATTCTGGGTACACAAGTACATGTGCCCAGCATGAGTTTCAAGCTGCTGGATCCAGGACTCAAACCATGGTGACTACATGGGTGTCCAGTGACTCAACCACTATACCATCTGCTGCTTCCACTATTCAACTTTTATTTATTCAAATTACATCTCATAATCAATTATTGATCCCCCCCCAAAAAAAGAAATGACAGTTCAATATTTACTTGGCTTATAGTAACATGTCACTCACTGCAACTGTGGACCTCTTATCACAAGAGGAACATTCAGCATTTTTATGAAAACCATAAATTGTGTAGTTCACAGGTAGATGAATATCTAATTATGTATTCTACCACTAAACCAAGGGAAAAAAAAAACCCACACAAACAGTATTGATTCTGCAGGAAAACACCACAAGTAATATATCTGAACTCCTCCTACTGTAAGATAAACAAATATGGAACCAATAGTGTGATCTTCTATATGGAAATAGGGAAATAGAAAACTTCAGTGATTTGCTTAAGATCCCGCAGATGCTAAAACCTTCAAATAGGTCTTTAATCCATTTGTCAGTAATTATTGATACAAGACTTGGAATATTATACCATAAAATATCCAGTGTGAATGGGTCATGATCCAAATCCATCAATGGTCACATCTACTCATGGAGCCCTCCTGTGTCAAAAGCACTGTGTTCAACTCTCCAGGTAATGTAAAGAAATAGATATTTTGACAGGGAAGAAAAAGGTTCACTCACTGATTCAATAAATATTGGCTCCTGGAATGTGTGAGATTAGTTGACAGAGAAAACCTTTGTACCTCTTGCAAATCCTAGCCTAATCCTAGCTTCAGGGGTAAATGACTCTGGGTAAATCTTTCAACCAAACTTTCCTTCTGGTATTTCCTTCTGGTATTTCTTTTGGGATTATAAAACAGACAGCAATGCCCACCACTCTTGAGTGATGAAACTCCTATATTTTTAGAAAAAAAAATCACGGCACCCACACCTGTGAAGGGAAGGCACACGTTCACATTTTCTATAGACCCCTCTTTGTCCTTTCTCCCCGGTAGGCAGAGACCATCACCATTATCCAGTCTCCAACTCTACCTGTGATTTTCTAATCAGAAAACAATCCCATCTCTTGCAGCATGTAACTAATCTATTTGAGTTTCTGAAGGAATTCATTTCATAATTATAGTAAAGAGGAGGCACTCAATATCTACTACATGAATAATGAAGAAATGGATAAACAAATGACTATTAACTTGTGTGTTCACCTATAAATGCCAGCACTGAGGTCAGCAGGTGCCATGGTGGTTGAGGTATTGGATTCCAACATGACTACCGTGGTTTGAGTCCCAGATCTGGAGGCTTGATTTCTCACTTTCTCTCTCTCTTTCTCTGGTCAAAATTTTAAAACAACAATAATAATAGTAATAACAAATGAGATGAATAATTCTTAAATAAATAAATAAATGCCAGCACTGTTTTCACACCAACATAGTGCATCAGTTTAAATGTTAAATCATTCTACGCTCACACTTATTTTCTCTGTTGGGAGAAACTTCTATCTTGTTTATACAAATAGGATCTGGAATTTATACAAATTTTTGGCAATATTTGTCTGTCTTCCTCGTCTTACATTCATTCTCTTTTTTCATAATAAATGTAAAATTAAGGGTAATTTATCCAGATTGTGGCATTGGGATTATGAATTAATTGATACTTAAGCAATTCAACTTACTATGTGTGGCAAACAGAGATTATAATTTTTAAAGGCAGTGATGTACAATAGATTATTATTTATGCTAAGTCATAATGAATATTATTTCATCTGCTTAGGATTATTCATAAGACTGTCCAGGTTTCTGCCATGCCTTAAGGACACTTAACAGAAAAATCATCTTGCAGGTCCAGCAGGTGGTGTGGTGATTGGGGTGCTAGAGCCCCACATGGTCAACTGCAGTTCAAGTTCTGGACCTGGCAGCTTGCTTTCTCACTTTCTTTCTCTTTCTCTGTCCTTCTTTGGTCAGATTAAAATGAATAAATAAATAAATAAAGCTAAATAAAACAATTCTTTTTAAAAATCATCTTGTATATACTGGGTGAATTTATTTCCTGAATGAATATATTGGGTTTTGGATAAATGAGAGCTTGTGTTACAATGCTAGCTCTACCATTTACCAACTCTATAAAACTGGACGATTCAGTTAATCTCCTGACCCCTAGTTAGTCCTCTATAAAATGAAGATAATGATAGTACTGATCTCAAAGGGTTATCATGAAAACTCGAAGAAAAAAAACAGTTTAAATAAATAGCATAGAACATAGCCTATGCTATGCTCAGTATGTGCTCAGAGGTTGTCATCAACACCATCATCATTATAACTTAACTATTTTCCTTTTAAGTAAATGATATTAATTCTATTATATCCTCCCAAACTTGGGAAATATAAATTCAATGAGGAATATTGGAAAGCCTTGGAAATTAGAAATGCTCAAAACCACCATTTTTGAGCTAACTCTGGGATTCTATCCTTGTAAACATTTACCCAACCCTAGTACCTTCGGCTTTCTTTCCATTTGACTTCTGATCAGCTTGGTCCTTCATTGTCTTGATCTCGAGGTCATCAAAAGTCATTTCCAAATTCATGCCAAGAAAGAGAGAGTAAAATAGTTCATTCAAGTGAAACTTCTACGAAGTGAAAATGCGTGAACTTCTGCTGGAGTATTTAAATAGCTGCCTGTTATCTAAGAGTGGGATGACTCAATCGCTGGTAGGAGGAAGGGAAGTCTTTGCTTCATATTGGGAAGTTGGCTGACGCAAATTCTTGAGTTATGTCTATTGCAGGTGGGGAAGGTGGCCATTCTGATAGTGTTTCAGGATATTTCACTAATACATAAAAGGGAAAACTGTACTTTCCATGAGCCTTAGAGGAGAGGCATTGTACCTGTTCTTCCGATAAGTAAACTGAAATTCAAAGACAGTTAACTCACACTAAATTTGTGGGAGAATTTGCATTTGGGCTAGATTATTTTATTTCAATGTTCATATTTGTGTTGAATTTAAGTGACGCAGACTGCCTCTACATGGTGTCTTTTATAAGTCACAATTTTCCTTTTCACTGTTTTAATTGACAGAGACTTAAAAGTGTCGGGGATAATCAAATAACTCTCATTTCCAGCCTGGTTAATTTTCGAACTTAATTAGGGAGATTATTTCATGCAGTGACAGTACAACATAGAAGCCAAGAGCACTTTGGATGGAACTAGATAGAGCTAGTTTCAAATCTTTCCCTGGGTCTATAATCTTGAATTATTTATACTCCGAATCGATGACTTTGTCTATACATTGTGAATAATGTCTACTTTATAAGCTGCATTAGTGATTCAAATGAGATTTTTGGATGAAATGGCAAGCTTTCCACTTAGAACATAAAAACACAATAAAAGACAATAATTACTATGGGTATTGGTCATACCCTGCACAGATGCATTTCCCAGCAAAGGATATGTTCACGTCTAACCTGTGATTAACTTGCATCACGAAGCCTCCCCCGGTGGTATCCTATGTCCTCCCCTGGTGGTATCCAACATGCACTCACTAATAAACCTTCACCTATTTTCCCTTTACAACCTCCTAACCAGTAAATAAATATTTCATTGAAGCTAGATGTTCCTTTTCCCCCAAAAAATCTACATCGATTAGAGGTGTCTTCTAAAGTAGTTATGTGTAACATAACAAGATTTGGAATCTGCCTTAAACTGCTACAAGAAGAAAGGTTAAAAGGAGAGTGTAGATAAGAGAATGGAAAAATAAATAAATATAGTATCGAGAAGACAATGAAGAAAAAAACCCACCAATATCAACAGGCTAATTAGGATTCCATTTTCTTGCTCCTCAAATTTTTCTGTATTCCTTTTTCTCTGTGCAGGGTATCTATGACCTGGTTCAAAATGGTCTCTCTGCCATTTGAAGATTGCTCTATCACACAGCTCACAGAAATCTCAGCATGTAGCAAGTGCATCCTGGTGGAATCAACTTGTAACAAAGCAGTTACTCATCTGGGTCACCCCAGTCCCATCCTCCTTCCTCTGACTGTGAGTGCCAGGAGGCAAGATTATGGTGGGATACATTTCTGCAGACATGCTGACTTTCACAGAAATAGAAACGGAGGAATTTGCTTTTAATAATGAACGAATAAATACTGAAATAGTATCACAATAAGGGCATACCTTTATCATTCCAAGGGTGATTCAATTCTTTTAAATGACATTAATATTAGTGGGTTTTCTGAAAAGTCATAACACATTTTTGTATAGAAAAATAGAAAAAAATACATCCCGACTTTTCTGACAACTCAATACATGAAACGCTTACCATTTTTATCATTTTTAGATACACTATTCAGTGACATTTGATTAACATTGTACAGCCATGACCACCATGCATTTTACCATTTTTATCATTTTTAGATGCACTATTCAGTGACATTTGATTAATTAACATTGTACAGCCATGACCACCATGCATTGTTGGAAGCTTGTTATCTTTCCAACCAAAACTCTGTTCCCCTTAAACAGTAACTCCTGTGGTGGTTAATTTTGTGTCATCTTGACTGGGCCATGGGGTGTTCAGATTGGGTATTTTTGGATGAGATTAACATATTCATCAGCAGAGTAAAACAGACTTCTCTCATAATGTGGATAGGTCTCATCCAAAAATTGAAGGCCTGAGGGGGTCAGCAGGTGTCATGGTGGTTAAGGTGCTGGATGCTCCCATAGGACTGACTACGGTTTGAGTCCCAGACCTGGTGGCTTACTTTCTCACTTACCTTTTCTCTCTCTATGTCTCTCCCTGGTCAAATTAAAGCAAATGAATAAATAAATAAAATAAAATAAAGTGAAAAAAAAATGAAGGCCTGAAGAAGACTAACTTTCCCCAACCAAGAAGAAAAAAAGAATTCTCCAGCAGACAGTCTTTGAACTGAAACCACAGCACTAACTCTCCTGGATATCCATCGATCGCCTTTGGACTGGAATTATACCATCTGCTCTCCTGCATCTTCAGTTTGTTGAACCACACTACAGATTTAAACTTTCCAAACCCATAGTCATGGAACTCAATTTTTCATAATAAATTTATCTTTATATATGAATACATCCTATTGACTTTTTTTCTTTGGAGAATGCTGATATATCTAGCTCCTTAGTCTTTCCTCTTCCCCTGGAAACAACTGTTGTCTTATTGATTTTCAATGCCTCTGATGTTGCCACTAAACATCTATCCTGTGATCTTAGTTTATAGAGCAGAGACACTTTCTAGTGGAGCACCCAGTGATTGCAAGTTGGAACTGACTACATTTTCTGCCATGTTACATATTTTTGAAGGCACAGCTCAACTCTTTATACCTTGAGGTTGAGGCCTCAGAGTAGTAATAATCCTGGCCTCCATTTCATGGAGGCACAGAGAAAAAAGGAATCCATGTTTGTCTACCTGGTCTAGGCAAGGTCAAAAAGAAACAGTCAAAGGAACCAGAAATAAGCAATTCTTTGGCTGCACTTGTTACAGCAGTTGTATAACAATTCCCTGAAGCATAGGTGAAAAGGTCTGTGTACATGACCCTCCATTGGTTCTACTCCATGTAGTTAACTATCAGGGTATAAGCTAATGATTCACAAGCTTAATGGGACTGCACAAGATTGTATAGGATTGCAATTAAATCATTCGCTTCTACCCTAGTTTCCTGCCTTTCTACACCTGTCCAGTGTGTACCTCCCTCAGTTTTCCTCCTAAATTTTCTTTCTTCTCCTCATTATCTTCATAGAGGCTTTGACAAGGACTGAACTCAGAATGATCACTCTCACAAGGCACAATTTCTTTCATTGTGACAAAAAAAATTGTTTTATTTTCTCAGGGAATAATCTGGAGGAAAAAAAAGCAACAGTAATTCTAAGAAATAAAAATAACAAGTAGGTCATTAACAGAATTCTATTTTGTTCAAACCTGTTAGAAAGCTGGAGGGCAAAAACATGGCAATCACATGTCAGGAAAAGTGCAATGGAGGGAAAGGTCATGTTCCTTGGGAAACCTGCTCATGCAGGTGAGGGCTGGCATGGTTTGGAGAAGAGATCCTCTGGCTAGCAGAGGAAAGCATTCAAGAGCTAAAATATTAGGAAAGCCAAACTGTGGTCTGGAGAGAAATTGGTGTAAAAATACTTATGAAAAGTACAAAGAATGTTGATTATCCAGCATATTGGAAGTGAAGGTCATTGGTAAAATAGAGTGAAATTTGAAATAATCTAAACTAACACATATAGCACTTGACATCATGAATACTGCATGCATACATATTAATTTAATTAAGTTTTTAAAAATTATTATTTTTAGGTTCTTGCCATAGGGCACCTGTGCTCACCAGAGAAAGACAATGAGAGGGAAAGTAAGAAATCACTCTCCAAGAGGGATGGCCAACCACAATCACATTCCCTCCATTCTCCTTCTGGGATTTTGGGTATATATGCACAGCATGATTTTCAAGCAGCCAGATCTGGGACTGGAACCACAGTCAGCCATGTGTGAGTCCAATACCTTAACCACCATGCCACCTGCTGACCTTTTAATTAATCTTTTGATCCTATGAAATAAATATTACTATCAGTACCGTTTTACATAAAATGAAACTAAGCCAACAGAGAGATAGAATATGTAATCTGAGAACACTCAACCAGTAAGTGACAAAGTGTTCAATCCCAGCTCTCCTAGCTAGACTATGCTGGTGTACTGTCTCTCTGACAAGAAAACAGGAAGGGAAGGTTCATGATGCTCCCTACTAGGTGGAACTCTGAGTAGAAATACTCTAATCAGAATGCTTTCTTGCCTCTGGATTTACCTTCGCTATGAAACAACTTCAAGAGCAGGTCAAGTGGGCATTCCACTGAATGGGAACATCAAGGACTGAGGAAACTACATCATAATTCAGTGAAGGGCCGGAACTGAAGCTCTGCTCTCCTTGTCCCTTAAAATATCTTCCACCTTGTCAAGTTTTCTATTGGGATTTGTAAAATGCCCTTTATCCTAACCCCAACTGTCTTACATTTTAAAAAAAGAATGTCAATGCTCAGTTAGTTTTGAAACTGATGGATTTTTTTAAGTAACCAGTATCACACTGGGCCATTCTCTTATTATTTGAGAAAAACAAACTATCTTTTCTCTATCACAATTCATGCTATTTGAGGGTTCTAAGAGTGTTCTCAGTCCCACTCAACAGTCTCCCCTAAATAATTGCTTAGTTCAACCAGGCTTTCAGAGTCACAAAGGATCTGAAAGAGATTCTAATTCAATTCTTATGAGGGAGATATATCATTGTAAACTAATACCCAATTTTCTTATAAGATACTTCTTATTAAGGAAAAGATTATCTTCTTAAGTATAAATCACATGTGCTGCATTTATTTTTTCCTGTATATATGTTTATTTGTAAGTATTCTAAGTCTTTTCCATGTGTACTTATTTTCACTCTGACCTTAGGTTTCATTTTCTTGAGTGACAAGATTTATAACAAAAGTTTATCAAAAAGAGAAAGAGAGGAAAAGAACAAGGAAAGAAACAAAGGAGGAAACAGAAACAAAAACAAAACAAAACAAAACAATAGAACTATTACTCTTGAATATAGTTTAAGAAAATGTGTCTATCTAATTGATCTGCTTCAATGGAAACTGAAGATAGTTTGGAAGAGGAGGTCTTTGAAAATGCCTGGAAATTCTAATAGTCAAACCCACTTTCTCCAGAGATGGGATGGCTTTCCAGTTCACTTGGCAACCTTCCAGTCCTGCCTCAATGGTCAGGAATAAATGGCCCAGAACGGGAGAGTTGATTATCAACATAGCGAAGGGGAGGGTTTCAAAGAGCATGAGTTGTGAGGGGAGAGGGATGCTAATTACATGGAGAAGGAGTGAAAGGAGATTGCCAAGGTTGGGCTTCAACAGTCCCCCTGGAGTGCTGTGCTAAAAGACCAAGAACATCACTAGTTTTCTGCTGAAGAAGAGAACACATGCGGTCACCAGCAATCTGCCTTTGACATTTCTCAAAGTCACCTTTCTCATCACTGGCAAGAGAAAATCTCATTCAGAGGACAAATGTGTCCTCCTTGAATGTCTTCTTTTTGGGGGCAACAGGAGAAAGAAAATTGAAGACATAAAGAAGCTTGATAGTAGAAAGGAAGAGAAGTGAAGGTTACTATAGAAACAGAAGTAAACTTGGGAGGAAAGGAGAGAGCAGCCATAGAAAATAAAAGCTAGAGGTCTTCAGAGGAGAAAACAGAAAGAGAGAAAGGGAAACACTGCTGCGTTGCTGAGGAAACTCCTAAAGATTTCTGTGTCGCGAAGTCAAACATGGCTCTGAGCATGAAGAGAAGGCAACAGACACCCAGTGCATGACCCTGGAGAAGCAGGAGCTCAGCCTGATGGAGGTGCTAGCCATCACGACGACCTTGGCATATTTCATCCAGGTGAGTTCAGTGTGAAAAGGTGGAAAATTGGCGTTGTTTTCTCAGATAAATGAACTCTCAGAAGAATCTAGCAAGAAATGCATGGTGGGGTGGGGGAATGGTGAAGGAATATAGAACCTAGAGAGTAGTGGAGAAATGAGTAACTACAACGTTTTCTTAATATTATGCCGTTACATAGATGTGTGCACTCATGGCAATGCCAATGAAAAGGAGAGAAAGTAGAGTAGCCATAGATATGAGTAAGATGGTGAAGGCACTTTTCAAATGGTCCTTATGTGTATTTCTCTTTTAGCACCTTATCACTCATCCCTTAAGAGCCTAAGTAAATTATGAAAACTAAAGACCAGCAGTTAGCGTAATGGCTATGTTGCTGGACTCCCATGTAGTCGACCACAGCTCAAGTCCCGGACCCAGTGGCTTAAACTCACTCCAGGTGCGTGTGCGTGTGTGCCCAAGATCCTGAGAGGAGAATGGAGAAGAAGGGATTGCGGCGTGGCCATCCCCCCTGGGGGGGGGTGATTTCTCGCTTTCTGTCTCTATGTCTCTCTGTGTCTTTCTGGCAAGTGCACGCGCCCTAAAGCTAAAAAAAAAAAAAAAGCCTCTCAAAAAAAATTATGAAAACGAACTGAATTATTTATCTAAAAGAAATTTCCTACATCAGCCCTAATGTTATTCTAGCAGGTTAGATTTCTCCAGTCTAGACATAAGTTAAGAGAGGGAAGCCCTTTAAAAAGACTTTAGACCCTTTACGTCTCTAGATATAAACTGGAAGCTCCTAAGTAATCCGTTAGCTGACAAAGGAGTCATTGGGCTGAGGGATTCAGAACAATTGTCAAAGTGAAGTTTAATAGGTCTCTGAAATGTAGCAGGAAGAAGAGCACCAGAAAAAGCTGGATAGTGTGTATTCCTGGCAGGGAGTGGACTACGTTTTCCTTTCTATAAATTGGTCCATCTGATTTCTAAAATTCTGTTTTTCTTTATTTTTCTTGTGTGTTCTTTTTGCCTCCTAGTCCCTACCTTATTCTTTCTTTCCCTTCATTTCTTTCTTTTTTCACCAAATCTTAAAAGTGACATTTATCAGGGCTGGCAGGTGGTGTGGTGGTTAAAGTGCTGGACTCCCACATGGCTGACCACGGTTCAAGTCCTGGATATGGAAGCTTGCTTTCTCACTTTCCCTCTCTTTCTCTCTGGTCAAATTAATAATAATAATAGTAAATAAATAAAACATAATTCTCTAAAAAAGAGTGACATTTATCTGCTGAGCACTTTAGGTTGCTCTTAGGAAAGGAAATACTAAGTTGAGGAAACACATACCTTGTCATTGTTAGTGGCCATACATTTTATTACTGATTGATTTTTTTAGAGATTATTTTTGCTATAGCATGTATGTGCTGGCCAAAGAGACAGAAAGCGAGAAATCACCTTCCACCCCATGGGAGATGGCCACACCGCAATCCCTTCCCTCCATTCTCCTCTTGGGATCTTGGGCACACAGACATGAACCCAGTATGAGTTTTAAGCTGCTGGGTCCGGAACTCAAACTAGGGTTGACTAGGTCCCAGTCATACATTTTAAAGGAAAACAAAAACATAACTAGGAGTTTCTCAAATCTTATCTGTAACAGATGGTCATTACCCTCTTCGGGAATTCTTTTGGCTGGAATGTGTTGAGTATGTGTGTCCCTCTTACCCCCTCTATCCCCACAATAAACTCCCAATAAGTACAAATGTCTGCCTCTTTTTAAGGGCCTGCCTTCCTTGTTTTACTGAAATATCAGGTCATTCAAGTTATTGGAAGACAGAAACAGTTTCCAGAACCAATGTTTACCTAGAGGGGTCTGTGAAGGAGGATATCAAGTGCAATATAAGATAGAAGAAGGAGTGGAAGTTTTTTTGGGACCAGCAGATGGCGTAATGGTTACATCACTGGACTTCCATGTAGTCAGCTGTGGTTCGAGTCCCGGACCTGGCAGCTTAAACTCATACTGGGCACATGTGCGTGCGTGCCCAAGATCTCAAGAGGAGAATGAAGAAGGGGAGATTGCGGTGTGGCCATCCCCCCTGGGGGGTGATTTCTTGCTTTCTGTCACTCTGTCTCTCTCTCTGGAGAGTACATATGCCCTATAAAAAAACTTCTCATATAAAAAAAAAGGAGTGGACATTTTCTTTAGGAGTAGAAGGCACTTGATTGAAATGTTAAAAGTGTTGTTAGAGCAAATTTCATTTTAGTTCTATTCATTCAACATTGCATTTATGATGGAGTTTGATTTGAATTCTGAACACATGGATACGTGAGTACAGTTGCTCATGTTACTTAAAACCCTGTGCCTTAGTTCCCTTAACCTCTCAAATAAAGTTAAATATATCCACCTACAGGTCCCTTCCCCCCCTCCTTTTCTCCTTCTTCTCTTGTATGGTGAGTTTAGTGGTGTACTGAGGGAATGGGAAAGGGCAGAGGGGTAGAATTCAACTCACAGCTGGGCATAGGTCAGAGAAACAATAACTACATGTTACTTAAAACCCTGTGCCTTAGTTCCCTTAACCTCTCAAATAAAGTTAAATATATCCACCTACAGGTCCCTTCCCCCCCTCCTTTTCTCCTTCTTCTCTTGTATGGTGAGTTTAGTGGTGTACTGAGGGAATGGGAAAGGGCAGAGGGGTAGAATTCAACTCACAGCTGGGCATAGGTCAGAGAAACAATAACTATATATATATATACCACTGGGTCCAGGACTTGAACTGCGGTTGACCACATGGGAGTCCAGCAACATAGCCATTACACTAACAGCTGGTCCTTGACAATAACAATATTCTAAGGCTGAATCAAGAAATGTCTCAGTTGGGGCCAGCAGGTGGCATGGTGATTAAAGACTCCCACATGGCCTGCCGTGGTTCTAGACCTGGAGGCTTGCTTTCTTGCTTTCTCTCTGGCTCTCATTTTTTTTTTTTTTTTGGGGGGGTTTTTTTTTTGTTGCTATAGGGTGCGTGCGCTTGCCAGACAGACAGAGAGAGACAGAGAGACAGAAAGCGAGAAATCACCCCCCAGGGGGGATGGCCACGCCGCAATCCCTTCTCCTCCATTCTCCTCTTGGGATCTTGGACACGCACGCACACGCAGCAAGTGTGAGTTTAAGCCACTGGGTCCGGGACGCAAACTGCGATCGACTACATGGGCGTCCAGCGACATAACCATTATTCTAACTGCTGGTCCCTCTGGCTCTCATTTAGTCTCTCTGTGTCAAATCAAAATGAATAAATAAATAAATAATAAAGTTAAATAAAATGATTACTAAAACAAATAGAGCAATGTCTTGGACAAGCGATTGATACAGATGGCTGCCTCTTATGCACAAAGGCAGCCATGCTCATTTACACAGAAACAGCAGATTAGACATTGGCTCTTCCAGGTCCTCCGTCAAGTATGATACTTAGCAGAGGTGAGAGAGAAAGAGTAATAGTCCTAACGTGCACTAACATTGTGACTTCATCCTCATCTTGACCTATTGCCCTAACAGAGCAGTCATGAGATGGCTGAAGGGCAGTTGAGTCCAGCAGACGAGACCATTTCCCTGTCTGAAACTGTTTCCCTTCCTACAGCTTCCTGGGGCGAGGTGTGAGGAGAACTGTGTCAATCCTGAACAGTAAGTATCTGCAAGTTTGGGGGTGGTGGGGGAAAGGAGCAGACCTAAATATCAATAATCACAGACGGTTGCAATGTCATTAGTTATGACACCCTTGCATTTATTTCTACTTAACTGGGTATCCACCCACTAATCTCAGAAATATGTTTGTGTCATCATTAAAGTACTCAAAATACACTGTTTGCAGCATTTTCCCAACGCCGCTCTTCTCATCAAAGAAGCACAGTTAATTCTTATAGTCAGAGAGACTTGCAAAAGACTTTCTTTCCCCCAGCCACGTCAATGACTCATCAGGACAGACTCACTGGCATGTATGTCTGGATGATTTCCAAAACAGCATTACCACTTTCAATCTGAAAAGTATTCTCTAGTTTTTAGGGCAGGTTAATTTTTTTTTGGAAGACTTTAGTTAGCTAAATGGAATTAGCTACATGAAATCATTTTCATGTAGTTATCCCTTCATCTACCCATGTCTGTCACGGTTAAGTTTTATGCAGATACAAGGAACATAAAGCTGAAACTGTAAGAAGCTCATTCCATTTGGAGAAACTATTTTTTTTTTTAAAAGTAGAAACAAGTTGAATAAAAGACTTCTTTAGGCTGAAGGAAAAGACATATCTAGCCACGGGAAGAGTTTCCCAAAAGTCAGTCCTGTCTGAGGCCAGCATGTGGTACAGTAGTTTAGGTGTTAGACTCCCATGTGGCTAGTCATGGTTCAAATCCTGGACCTGGTGGCTTGAAACTCACACCAGCCATGTGGGCATGCGTGCCAAAAATCCTGACAGGAGAATGGAAGAGAAGGGATTGCTGCATGGCCATACCCACCCCTGGGGGAGAGGGGTGATTTCTTGTTTTCTTGCTCTCTCTCTCTCTCTCTGTTTCTATCTCTCTAGCAAACACATGCTCTATAGCAAAAATCTATTTAAAAAAAAAAAGCTGTCAAATCCAGGGAAAATGGTGATGGCTCGTATTACTATTACTTATCACATGCACGTCGGGCCTTGGCTCCTTGACACAAGTTGTCTGAACTGTTAGACATCTACCACTGTAAAGATTCCTTTTGTATAGAATGAAAATCTAAGCAGGAGGAGTTTGGAACAAATGAGGAACATGATAAAACTGAGACAAAGCATTGCTCGGTGAAAAAATAGTCATATTTTCTACAAACTTATGACTACAGAGAAGATATAGAAATGAATTTCACTATATTTTAATAGTGCAGTGTGACCAACAGTTGGCGTAATGGCTATGTCACTGGACTCCCATGTAGTTGAACATGGTTCGAGTCCTGGACCCAGTGGCTTAAACTCACGCCAAGCATGTATGAGTACGTGTCCAAGGTCCCAAGAGGAGAATGGAGGAGAAGGGATTGTGGTATGGCCATCCCCCCTGGGGAGTGATTTCTGGCTTTCTGGCTTTCTGTCTCTCTCTGTCTTTCTGGTGAGTGCACGTGCCGTATGACAAAAACCTCTCCAAAAAAAAAAAAAAATTAAAGGAACCAGGAGAGGGCATAATGGCTATGCGGCTCCCATGTAGTCGACCACAGTTTGAGTCCTGGACCCAGTGGCTTAAACTCATTCCGGGTGCGTGTACATGTGAGCCCAAGATCCTGAGAGGAGAATGGAGGAGAAGGGATTAACGGTGTGGCCATCCCCCCGGGAGATGATTTTTCACTTTCTGTCTCTCTGTCTCTCTCTGTCTTTCTGGCAAGTGCATGCGCCCTACAGCAAAAAGCCTCTACCCTCCCCCCAAAAAGCGTGATGTATCGGCAAGTATAATTAAATGACTATGTTTTGCTAATCTTCAAAGAAACATGAATGCTTTTCCATCCCCTTCAATCTCTTATATTGCATATATTCTTTCTCCTATGAAAACTTTTTTCATTCCTACAGAGAGAATTTATACTTGTTATAGTTAGTCCAGAATATTTAGTTAGCTTTTTTTTTTTTTTGAGAGGTTTTTGCTATAGGGCGCGTGCACTCACCAGACAGAGAGACACAGAGACAGAAAGCGAGAAATCACTCTCCAGGGGGTATTGCCATGCCACAATTCCTTCTCCTCTGTTCTCCTCTCGGGATCTTGGGCACGCATGCACACACTCCTGGAGTGACTTTTAAGCCACTGGGTCTGGGACACGAACCGCAGTCGACTACATGGGAGTCCAGCGACATAGCCATTACGCTAACTGCTGGTCCCTAGTTAGCTTTTAACATGATGAAGTTGGCTTCTAGTTTTCCGCCCTTCCTGTTTAGTCTCAGTGCATGTGCATATTAGTTTTGACCCTGAATGTAAAAGGTCAGGGCCCTTTAGATAGTGGAACTGTTGCAATGGCTTGCGAAATAAATTGCAGACTTAATGGTATTGCTTTTATGCATCTAACTGGAATTTTCTTTACATTTACACTTTACTGACCTCAAATATTTATACAAATTTTAACTTTCATGTCCATTTTTTTTTTTGAAGAGGTTTTTGCTATAGGGCGTGTGTGCTCGCCAGACAGACAGAGAGAGACAGAGAGATAGAAAGCGAGAAATCACCCCCCCCCAGGGGGGATGGCCACGCCGCAATCCCTTCTCCTCCATTCTCCTCTCGGGATCATGGGCACGCACGCACACGCGCCCGGCGTGAGTTTAAGCCACCTGGTCCGGGACTCGGACCACGGTCGACTACGTGGGAGTCCAGCGACATAGCCATTATGCTAACTGCTGGTCCCCATATCCATTTTTAAACTTACTCTGTATAAACTTGCATTACAAATTCTTTCTTGGTAGTTTTCATCATAAGTATCTACAATAGTCATGAATGCATTTTCTTTTTTAAAAAAATAATTATTTTATTTAACTTTATTTAATATTGTTGTTGTTGTTATTATTATCCCATTTGATCAGACAGAGAGAGAGGGCAAGTGAGAAAGCAAGCCACGAGGTCCAGGACTTGAACCACGGTTGGCCATGTGGGAGTCCAGTGCCTTTAATCACCATGCCACCTGCCAGCCTCTATGAATACATTTTTCTGTTAACATTTTTGTGAACACTACTTTAATTGATTTGTAATGACTTACAGAATGATTTGCACAGTGCCATCTACAGTATAAAATAACCTTAAAGTATACCGTTCCATGACTAATTCAGCCAGCTACACTGAAGTGTAAATAATATCACCCCTGAGGCCTGTTTTTTTTGGAGAGATTTTGCTATAGGACGTGTGTGCTCACCAGAAAGACAGAGAGAGAGAAAGCAAGAAATCACTCCCCCAAGGGGGCATGGCCATACCACAATCCCTTCTCCTACATTCTCCTCTCGAGATCTTGGGCACACGTGCACATGCGTCTGGCGTGAGTTTAAGTCACCAGGTCCGGGACTCGAACCGCAGTCATCTACATGGGAGTCTAGCGACACAGCCATTATGCCATCTACTGGTCCCGATGCTTTTCTTTTTTAATTATTTAATTTTATTTATTCATTCTTTTTTTTTTAAGTTAACTAGAGAGAGACAGAGAGAGAGGGAGAGAAAGTGGGAAAGCAAGCCACCAGGTCCAGGACTTGAACCGTGGTTGGCCATGTGGGAGTGTGCAGTGCCTTAACTACCATGCCACCTGCTGATCCCCCCATGCTTGTTTTATATTAGTAACAAGGTATCATAGTAAATCCTATACATATACAATTACCAGAGGCAGTGTGTGCTTGCCAGAGAAAGTATCCCCCAATTTTTTTTCTTTCATTTATTTATTTTTACATTTTTCCACAAACATTTACTTTACATAGCAAAAAATTTTAGCTAGCATCCCCCAATTTGGTGTGGTCCTGCTAAAATCCCTTCACCTCTACTTCTCTATCCAACAGGGACTTTGGGTTAGGGCAAGCACACATGCCTAGTGTGTCTTTCAAGCCACTCAGGTGGGATGTGAACTGCTGTCAGCCGTGAGATATACAGCACCCTTAATCACTGCATGGCTAGCCAGCCCACTATATTTTTAATATAAAAAATGTTATTCTTTCTCCATAGTTGCCTGCCTACAGACTGGGTACACCTCTGGTATATATGGTAAGTTTGAGTTTTAATATATAGAAAGACACTTTATTTCTCATGGATTTTTTTTAAGTTTTTAAATAAACGGTCAACAGGAAACAAATGTGTAAGTTGGCCTGTCTACTTAGCATCTCATGGAGTAGAGTTCATTTGGCTCATCACTAACCCTCATGACAATAGGCCAGGACTTCCCTACCATCTCCTTGGCCAGAATCAGACCATTGTGTCTTTCCTGCAGGGTCCCTACAGGAGAGATTATTTCAGAGAGGTAAAAAGCACTCCCTCCCATACCTTGAGTATCTTATTATTTTTCCTAATGAACTGACTTGAATCTTGCTGACAAAATAAGGAGCTGTGTAAAGAGAAATCTTATGCTTATTCCACAAAATATTCAAACAAGAATCACTATGCCGACATGAGAGGCCTGGTTATGTCAGAGCTGGGGCCTGTGGCAGAAGGCGAGCTGGCTGCATGGGCCTTGCAGGTTGCTGGTGGTGCTGGGTGTCCTGCTGCTCCTGTGTGGGCTGAGCTCCGTGTGCTTTCGCTGCTGCTGTCTGGGCCACCAGCGGAATGGTGAGGACCGGGGCCCATCACCCTGCGAAGTGACGGTCATCGCCTTTGATCACGACAGCACTCTGCAGAGCACGCTTACTTGTGAGTACATTGACCTTAGAACATGGGAGCGGGACCTGGAAGGGGCAAAGGGGACGAAGCTATAAACCACTGATCCAATGGTGTTAAAGAACATAGGATCGGGACCAGCAGTTAGCGTAATGGCTATGTCGCTGAACTCCCATGAAGCCAACTGCGGTTCGACTCCTGGCCTTGGTGGCTTAAACTCACGCCTGGCATGTGTGCATGCGTGCAAGATCCTGAGAGGAGAATGGAAGAGAAGAGATTGTGGTGTGGTCATCCTCCCTGGGGTGGAGGGGGGGGTGGTTTCTTGTTTTCTGTCTCTCTGTCTCTGTCTTTCTGGCAAGCACATACACTCTATAGCAAAAACCTATTAAAAAAAAAAAAAATAGGACCCAGAGGAGTTGGGTTTGGTTTGGTTTTGCCAGACTGCCTGCACCCTGGTCAGTGAGAGACAGAGAGAATGTACCTCCTCTCCAGCGGGGCATGGTCATGCTTCAATTCCTTCTTCCACTTTTCCTTTCTCTCTTGATTTAGGGCACACATACACAAACACACTCACCCTGGGGTTTTGCGAATTGCTGGTTCAGGACTCTAATCCAGCACTTGGCCATGTGGGACCCAGCTCCCTTAACCACCAGGTCATGGACCGGCCCAAGGACTCAGTCTAATTTTGACCCCCAGACACCTGATGGTTCAGTGACCTGGACGCACACTGGTGCTGTGGTCTGAAATATTTGGCTAGTGATATAGTGAACAAATAAGTCAAATATTAGAGACAATATTGAAAATGTTTTATAGGAAGAATGACCCAGCTTATAATTAGGTATTTTGTTGAAACTATTGGATTGTCGGAAAAGTCATAATATATTTTGTAAAAATGTCTCATGACTTTTCTGACAACCCAATATTTTGAGCATATTGCTTTTCTGAAATGTCCTGGATTTTGTGAACACCTACATTTTCTTTTTGCTATTTATGCTATTTTATATCATTAAATTAGTGAGTGCTGTGTACTTTTGGTTCTTTATTCTTCAGGTCTTGATACACTAAATTTTAACCCCAATAACCCCTTGATAATTATAAGATATGTTATCTTGTCTTCTTCTGTTCTATTCTTTAAATTATTTTTTTTCTACATTGAGGAGAAAATAACAGGCAGAACACCAGGTAATAAAACACTGATATTTATTTTTTACTTTTTTTTTGGGGGGGGGAGGGATGTTTTTGCTATAGGGCATGTGCGCTCGCCAGAGAGACAGAGAAAGACAGAGACAGAAAACGAGAAATCACCTCCCCAGGGGGGATGGTAACACCGCAATCCCTTCTCCTCCATTCTCCTCTCGGAATCTTGGGCATGCATACACATGCACCCGGTGAGAGTTTAAGACACCAGATCCAGGACTCGAACCACGGTCAACTACATGAGAGTTCAGCGACATAGCCATTACGCTAACTGCTGGTCCCAACAGTGATATTTATTTTGAAAAGAACAATATGACATGTTGCTGTTCATGTTTTCTACCTCATCATGTTCTTTTTTTTATTGTTTTATTTAACTATTACTTCTTTATTTTAATTTTACCAGAGAGGGACAAAGTGAGAGAGAAAGTGAGAAAGCAAGCTGCCAGGTCTAGGACTAGAATCATGACCATGTGGGAGTCCAGTGCCCTTAACCACCACACCCCCTGCTGGCCCCTCGATCTCATCGTTTTCACTGTCATCTTAGGGAAATGATAAATACAGCAGAAATAAATATCCTTAAGGAGTCTGCTCTCCGTGGTGGTATGAAGGCATCTGAGTCTGAGAGGGGAAGGGACAGGGTTGGAAGGTATAGAAACAGAGTTTAGATTATTCAAGGATACCAGAGAAAACAGGTTCTTCTAGTAATGTGTGAAGTTGGTCTCTAAACATGCCTCTCCGGATTTTCATAAAATTTGTGGCAAGAAACGACAGTGAGTCTGGTCACTTGGTCAAAATGAAGGGATATTATGTGAGATGTACATGGGATTTCAAAAGGCTCATGGAAGCATGGAGTTAAAAGATAATAATATCAACTTTGTTTCTCAGTGTAAGATTTATCAAGTGCAAGACAATTACAAACAATAATATTGGCCATTTAGCCCATCTCAGAAGAACTAGGGATCCTGGGAGTTTAGTCATGTCAACATAATCTTGGGACCACCAGTTGGCATAATGGCTATGTCACTGAACTCCTGTGTAGTCAACCGCAGTTCGATTCCCAGATCTGGTGGCTTAAACTTACACCAGGCGCATGTGTGTGTATGCCCAAGATCCTGAGAGGAGAATAGAGGAGAAGGAACTGCTGCGTGGTCACCCCCCCTAGGGGGTGATTTCTCACTTTCTATCTCTCTATCTCTCTTCTGTATTTCTGGCATGCGCATGTGCCATATAGCAAAAAAACTCTCAAAAAAAAAATCTTTTCTACATCATTAACTGAAGAAAAGGGGGAAGGGCAGTTAGTGGTATAGTGGTTACAGCACTGAACTCCCATATAGCCAAGTACGGTTCAAGTCCCAGATCTGGCAGCTTCAAAGTCATGCTGGGGACATGTACCTGGGTGTGCCCAAAATCCTAGGAGAAAAATGGAAGAGAAGTGATTGTGGCATGGTTATTCCCTTGGGAGGTGATTTATTTTCTTCTCTCTCTTTTTTTTTTTTTTTTTTTTTTTTGCTATAGGGTGCATGTGCTTGCCAAAAAGTCAGAGAAAGAGAGAGACAGAAAACGATAAATCACCCCCCAGGGGGATGGCCACGCCACAATCCCTTCTCCTCCATTCTCTCTTGGGATCTTGGGTATGCACACACATGCGTCCAGCATGAGTTTAAGCCACTGGGTCCAGGACTCAAACTGCGGTCGACTACATGGGAGTCTAGCAACATAGCCATTATGCCAACCACTGGTCCCCCATCTCGTCCCTTCTTAAAACATGTTATTTATTTGTAAACTGCTGATTTCTTTGGGGACACTGTCCCTACAAACTTTTATAAAGAATCAATAATTTCGGGCCAGCAGGAGGCATGGTGGTTAGAGGCACTGGATTCTCATAAGGCGTTCAACCATGGTTTGAGTCCCAGACCTGGTGGCTTGCTTTCTCACTTTCCCCCTCTCTCTCTCTCTCTCTCTGGTCAAATTAAAAAATAATAACAAATGGAATTAATTAAATAAATAAATATTTTTAAAAGGGAATCAGTAATTTCACCATTCTTCCACCCACACTTCACCATAAATTTGATGGTTGTTCTTGCTTCAATTTTAGCAGAATTCATGTTGCTCTGATAGGAGCTCTTTGCAAATGGATATCTAAGGCTTCTTAGCTCCTTAAACTAGATCCTATTCAGACATATTAGAAAAAGTTATTATGAGTTTACTTGGCACGAGGAGAAATTAAATGTATGCAACTTTTTAATACTCCATGTTTTCCATGAGGTTTCGAAGTCTCTGATTTCTGAGGATCCTACACCTATGCTAGCTCTGTTCCTTCTTTCTCCACAGCCCTGCAGTCTGTGTTTGGCCCCGCAGCACGAAGGATCCTGGCTGTGGCTCACTCCCACAGCTCCCCGGGTCAACTGCCCTCTGCTTTGGACACCCTCCCTGGGTACGAAGAAGCTCTTCACATGAATCGCTTCACGGTGGCAAGGTGTGGACAGAAGGCACCTGACCTGCCCCCAGTGCCAGAGGAAAAGCAGCTGCCTCCGGCGGAGAAGGGGTCTCTTTGAGTAGCACACTGCAAATCAATGAGAACTCTGATTTCACAAATGGGTTGGTTCCCTCGGAGTCTGTGGGGGTGCACGGACAAATGGAACATGTTCTTTTCTAGCTTCCAGGATGGCTACGATGGCATCTAAGCATCATCTGGTAAAAAAGATAGGTTCTAACTCTTCACATCCAGCCACATGTATATTCTGAATGGAATGCTCTAATTAAGAACTTTTTTTTGAGAGTTTTTTTTTTTTTTTTTCTGTAGGGCGCGTGCGCTCACCAGAAAGACAAAGAGAGACAGATAGATAGAGAGCAAGAAATCACCCCCCAGGGGGGATGGCCACACCACAATCCCTTCTCCTCCATTCTCCTCTCGGGATCCTGGGCACGCACGCACACTTGCCTGGCGTGAGTTTAAGCCACCGGGTCTGGGACTCGAACTGTGGTAGACTACATGGGAATTCAGCAACATAGCCATTACACTAACTGCTGGTCCCTCATAATTAATAACTTTAATTATTTATCCAATGGCCCAAATTTGCAACTCCATTTTGGTCTTGTTGATTACGACCAATGCCTTGCATTCCATTAGCTACAGAGTACACATAAAATTTGTTTTCCCGTGTGATATTATAAGTTGCTTTTCTCTCTGCTGGCTAATAGATCATGGCAAACTTGAGAAAAATGACAGTATAAGCACAGACATCCGCATTAATGCACTGAATGCATGCTTCTTTCCTCCGGGGAGAAGAGCCACATTTATGCTGAATGACCATGTCTGTCTCGGACATCATATGGCACCCACCTCACTGTGTAGAACCCAGGTCTGGGATTGCTGGTTTCTCCATCCCTCCCCCCATCAGTAGAAAGGCAACAGAGCAGTTTCAGCCACGTAAGGCACAGTGACAGTTCTATTCATTCTCCAGCTCCTCCACCTGCAAATATACACATGCAAGCACGCACATGCTCATTTAGGCACACACCTGTACTTCTCTCACTCTAAAAGCACAACATTGCTTTGCTGCTTTCCTTCTTCCTGCTTTGACTTTTTAAAAAAAGTTATTTTACACATTCGATCACTATACATCACTTAGCTTGTAAAGCGAATTTACCCAACATGCATACGCCTCACACCAGTCCAGTTGAGGATACTATATACCTTATCACCAACAGACAACAATCCATTTCTGTGCCCCATCATCTTGTCTATTCTTCTCCTTAATTTCTTTCCTCGCACTCTCCTCGCGTCTGCCTTCTTCCCACAGTCTCTAATATCCATAGCCATTTCCCATGTTTCATATCCTCTAATCTTTCCATTTCTGGCATGGAGTGTGTCCAGTCAAAACGTATTAAGTGGAGATGGACAATGTCTCTCTTTTATAGCCTGGCTTGCTTCCGCTCAGTCCTAAGACTTGTCAGTAGTGAAGGTCCTCACTGCCACCTAGTGGAGACGTGGTAGAAAACACAGTCTCGTCTTTAAGCTTTTCTGCTCATCAGTTCTTGGAGGGCTCAGTGCTGGGTTTAGCCTGGATGGGATCCTTCCCACGGCACCATCCTGCTGTGCAAGGCCAGACTTGCCACAGAGCAAACCTTCTTCCCAAGTATGGTTATTGGAAAATCGAGGAAGTGAAGTGTCTGTTTGGGGGAAAACTACTTTCTTTAGATAAATTACTGAAATGGTTAAAGCACAGTTTTCTCACCTGTAAAACTGGGGATAAGAATACCTCACACGATTGTTATAAGGATCAAAGAAGCTGAACATACATGACGTAACTTGTCAAGCATTGAGCACATGTACTCATTTTACTCTCCCAATTGCCATCTAATCTTCACCTGTGTGCTGTGATTCTGCTGAGGATTATTCTGGTTTGTCCTTTTTGCCAGTCTGCTATGTATTGTTAAGTCCTATTTTAAGTGGCTTTGCTTTATTAATAAATATTTGTTGATTTATATAAATGACTAAAGACATCAGTGGTTCCTGTTAATATGTTCTGAGCAGAGGTAAGCAATATTCAAGAAAACCAGTTACTCATTAGGCAATTAACTCCATTACTTGGGAAGGCAGTACAAACGCAGGGGTTAGCTGGTTAAAGCAGCACCTCATTAATACATTCTTGAAATGCTTGCTCTCTGCAGAGGAGAAATGTTCTGAGTAGAACGCACTGGTGACCTGAATTTGTTCTGAGTCATTTATCAAACTACCTCTGGACATTGTTGAAACGCATGAATTGTTACCGGTTCCTGAGGTGGCCTTGTTTTACCACTGACAAATGAATCATTTAGTCCTCACACATGCCATACAATAGTCTAGGCGCGTGTCCTTCAAGACACCACAAATTGAAGAAGTTAAAACATTGATGGGCATTAGAAGAACTTACCAGAAATTCTCCCTTTGAAGTCTTGGCCTAAAGAAATCCCTCTACCTCACACCCCTTGGATCTTATTGGCATTATGGAATCACTTCCATCCATTTTATGCTACGCTATTCGGTCTCTCTCCTTAAGAGTCTTTTCCTAATCTACTTCCATTGTGCGGTCTTACTGCTAGTCCTCAGCCACCTGAAGCGTTTTACTCTTGCAACACTTCTATTTTGTCAAGAGCTATTAACACCTTTGGCTTCACTTTTTTCTGTACTCAATTTAAGACATTTGTTAATTATCGCAATGACTTGAACTTGTGTTCTTAATTTTTAAACCCCTTCTTACTTTCTTCACAGCTACTCTTCAAACTTTTAACATAGGGTCATGAAGCTAACTGGTTTCTCCTCGATGCCTGTTGTGCTGAGCAGTGCTGGAGAAAACCCCTCAACTCTATTGACTGAAATCAGTAGGAAGTCAATATACACCAAACATCTGCACTCTATTACAGAACTTGAAATGTCTGAAAACATAGGGGCAGTTGGGGGCCAGCAGGTGGTGTGATGCTTAAGGCGTTGGACTCCCACATGGCTGACCATAGTTTGAGTCCAGGACCTGGCAGCTTGCTTTCTCACTGTCTCCATCCTCTCTCTGTCTCTCTGGGCAAATTTAAAAAGTAATAATAATAAATAAAATTGAATAAATAATTTTTGCTGAAGAAACAGAGAGCCAGAAAGCGAGAAGTCATCCCCCAGGGAAGGTGGCCATGCCACAATCCTTTCTCCTCCTTTGTCCTCTCAGGATTTGGAGCACTCACGCACACACGCCTAGCATGAGTTTCAAGCTGCGGGGTCTGGACTCAAATTGCAGTCGGTCACATGGGAGCCTAGCACTTTAACCACTATGTCGCCTGCTGGTCCTGAGTACATATTAATCTATACAGAATGATACAAACTACTTTTTTCCTTCTTTCATGAGTGTGACAGGGGACAGAGACACAACACCTTTAGCAATGCCTTGACATTCCAGCCCCCTCCTTCTGCCCCACGAGCCCCCATCATTGGCACACATAGGTCTGAAGCACTCTGCGAGACAGGAGTCCAAACTCTATTTTAAGTACCCCAAGAAGCTATGGAAGGATTTTTTAAAAATCATTTTATTGAACTTTATTTTATTTACTTATTCACTTTAATTTTACCAAACAAGAAAAGAGAGAGAGAGGGAGAGAGAGAGAGAGAAAGTGAGAAAGCAAGCCGCCAGGTCTGGGATCCGAACTATAGTCAGCCATGTGGGAGTCCAGTGTTCATAACTACCACACCACTTGCCAGCCCTGCTATACAGAAGGATTTTAGACAACAAATTCCCTGATGGCATTTGAGTTTTTGGAGGCAAACCTGGAGCCTTCCCATGTGGGTCATCTACACATAGCATCATGTTTTCCTGCTGTCCCACCAGCCAGCCCCCGTGGACTCTCCTTTTGGAGAGAAGCTGGGTCTGAAAGATTGGGCTGTGGGGACTAGTTCTGTCTGTGGTTTGGAGGCAAGTAGGACAAAATGGCGTGTCTTGCAGGGACCTGCCTCTGGTCCAGATCTAGGTCAGGAACTGTAGCATCAATTCGTATTGAGTTGGCCTGAGAGGTATGGCCATAAGACCCTATCTAAAGACTCTGGTCTGTTAATATGTTAGGAGTTTAGCACATATGGAAGTATGGAAATAAAACAAAAATAAAAATGGTACCATCCAGGCTTCATTAGCAAAGAAGAAGGATCATATTCCCTCTAGCTCACCCTCGGCAGGGTGGCCATCCCCTCAAGTGCTTTCTCACTACAGAGAGCTGATGACCACTAAATGATATTAAGAAGAGCCGGGCTAGCTCTTCTAATATCATGTAGTGGTTATGGCAGTTGGATCCCACATGGCTTGACCACATAATTAGGGACCCAGATCCAGTGTCTTGAGAAACATGCCAGGTGCATGTGTAGGTATGCCCAAAATCTTGACAGGATGGAGGGATGGAAGCACATGTGCCCTCTGGCAAAATTTTTTAAAAGAGAGAGATGACATAATATGGTTTTATTATATACTATGACATTTGTGTTCTTGCTTTTTTTCTAGAAATGACTAGGTCAAGATCCAAGGACAATTACAAATGGGTTTGAACAACAGTGATGGCTTTAAACATGTCCACAGATTCCTTAAGACCGCTACCATCTAGAGGTAGAGACTGTGGCCCTCCCTTTGAAACGAAACATAAATTTGTGGCTCCCTTGAGGAACAGAATGAGGCAGAAATGTCACTATGGAGCAAAAATACTAAGTTACAAAAGGCAGCGTGCTTTCTGTTGATTTCTCCTGGAAATTTTGCTGAGAGAGCCTCTAGCTATCATGGAAGAAGTCTGGCTGGCTTTCAAGTCACTGTGTGGAGACTTATGGTGGGACCAGTTTAGGGGGGAAGGCCGACTAAAAAGCCTCAAATGAATCTTCCTAGCCCAAGTACTAGCAGTACTAGTGAGGAAACCTTCATGAAAGATCCCACCACCAGTCACCATCTGACTAAAGCCAAGTGAGACCGCAAGAAAGAATTGCCTAGCCAAAGCAAAATAGATGGTGTTATTATTAAGATGCTGTTTCCAGGTAGTTTGCTATGCAGCAATAGATAGCCAGACCTATAAGCCAAGTAAAATAAAGAAAACTAAGGTAGTGGCAGTTGGGTGGAGTAAAATGCACACGTTGAAATTGTGATGAAGTGGAAGGGAAATCTCATTTGGTTTTCTGTAATGATGTATAGTGAATGAATGTAAATAAATTTAAATTTAAAAAAAAAGAAATTGTGATGAAGGAAGATTAGTCGGCTGCAGTGGTGTTGCAGTAACACCAGCGGGGCAGGAGAAAGCTAG